ATTTCAAAAATTATTTAAACAAACTCATTATTATTATTCATTATTTAACCATATGTATAGTGTTTTTACACAGACGTTGCTCACTAGCACATATAATGTAAAGTCGATGTCAAGGCGGATGCGGATTTACCTTCACATACGAAATTTATAAATATGTAAAGTCAGGCAGTCAGCTTCAATGTTATATCTTCGTCTATCTTCTTTACGGGGGGACATATAAAGAAATAATATAAATTTCTTTATTTGAATGTGATCTAACAGATGACGTTTATATGTCATCTGTCTATTTAAATAAAATATCCTAGAATTAGTATTTGTTGAGAAGAACAATAAATTGGTTATTAATTTCATTAATTAAGTATTATAATTGTGATTAGGAACTGGCATTGTTAATAATAACATTAAATGTCGTTTCTTTTCTTACAGGTTTGTAATAGTTTGAAACTTAATAAGTAATAACACATATTTGTTAAATTTACATATTTTATAAACAATAAATCTTTTCTTACAGAGAAACTCAATTGTGTTTAACTGGCTGTGTCGTCCTAATCCAGAAATATCTTATAAATATATACGATTATGTGGAAAAATTCCTTTATGCATACAATAAATAATAATAATATTATTATTATAATATTATTTATTTGAAATGTTGTAAATGTATGACAAAGTTTTGCATAACTATATTCAAATTGTCTCGGGGGTTTGGCGCGCATTGATTGTGTTTATAATATCAAGGATAATATTTTCGTCGAATGCACTTTAATGACTGAAACTATTACTGATTTATTATATCGATTCTAAGTATTTGCTGTGGATTTTCTGTGAACCTTATATTTTTTATTGTTATTAAAAAACTCTTCACACTACTGATTCAATTTTGATAATGTAGCGAGGTTGTACTGTATAAAACAAAAATATTCACCAGAAAAGTCCGAAGAAGAAAGTAAAATATAACTAAATTTTATTTTCAAAGCATATGTTCTGTACACTGTACAGGGATTTAATGTAGCTTGCACAAACTTACTTAACTTGTTTCTTTGTTGGGTACATAGTGAATTCTAAGTAATACCGAATAAGTAGCGGAAGTTGAAATATCGAGCGTCAAACATCCGGACTCCATATAAATATGTAAGCAGGTACATGGATGTTAGTTTGCACTTTGCTCAAGGTAAGTTACTTTTAGCGATTGTAATTTGAACCTACAGAACGGTACCTAGGCTATACCTTTGGTTAATATTTCTTTTCCCGCCCGGGTGAGGCTAGAGGGAAAACTACCACGTTCCTGCTCCTGCAATTTGAGTCGTAGCCCCGGTAACCTTTTACGTTCTCCGCGGCTCCGTATCGTCATCAGCCCTATTGGGCCCCATCTGTAGTGGTGTGATGGCTCTTTGAGGCGCGCTTTACTATAAGGTATATCTTAGCTCAACAGCTAGTTCTTGGTCGATTAGTAAAAGAGATATTGTCTTTTCTACTAGATTTTATGTGACGGAAGTAATAAGGTCCATTGTCCTTATGTTCGCCCCGGAAATCGAATCCTGCACTCTTTAGTTAAGTGTCAGTGTTACACAGTCGTCTATACAATATATTTGTAACGTTTATAATCTCACCCCTCTTGAGTCGAGTCAAAAGATCACTGAATTAAATTAAATACAATTTATTTTCATACAGACGTTTGTTTGTCCGTCATTGTAAGTACGATTTTACATATTACAGGTTTTTTTACTTGTGATTAATTGTACTTTAAGAATTCTAAGGGTGAGATCTCATTTTTGATTATCATAAAATTGTACGACGCGTAGGAGGATGACATTGTTTTGCGAATTGTTTCATGAGTATTTATTACTTATACACTGGTGAACAATATGCATTCAGCATATTATGTACCTGTCATATACAGACAGAGTAGTATTATCTACTCAGTGCTCGTATTAAAAAAAAACTTTGTTATTAATTAGCCAAAACCAAACAGTTTAGGGCCCGAACATTTTTTATGTAAGGCGGCGAACGCAACCATGGGGGACATGGCGGGTCATTTGATGGTAAGCAAGGCAACGCCTATACTAATGATAGGTACCTTTATCATAAACAAAAATAAATAAAGTCACAAATACATTCATTAAGTAACAGAAAAATATCTAGGTACACACTGTTTAAGTAATTAACATCTAACGACTTTACTTCGTAGTTAAATGCATAATGACAATGGAGTAGAGATCATAGTTTTTACAGTTTGACGTATGTAGATGTAGGTATTAGACATAACAAAAACATTAATGCTTTGACTGTTGGATCCATTCAACATCAAGAGGGTAAAAACCAAATGGATGAAGGATTGTTCTGCACAGTTCTTATTAAGTGCTATTTTATGCACTAACAGTAAGACTTGTAAAAACTAGTAGACTAAAAAGTATTTAACTAAGTATCTCGCAAAAAGTTTAACTTCATCTATGTATATCTTCTAAACTTATAATGAATCTGTAGAAAAGTCAATTTTGTACATGAAATATGTAGGTTCATATTTCCAAGATAGCTATCAGGAGCCTGATTCACGTAAAATCAAACAGTTGAAGTTTTATAGTCGCTCGATCATAATTCGATCGAAATCCTATCCGAAATCGGTATTCACGTGTTCTATAATCGGGGTTGGATAGGACGGGCGTGGCGTGGGCTGGCTGGGCGTGATTAAGGTCCCTTTTCACCAACGAAACTGATCACGATTACACCTAACAAAACTGATTTAAAGCGTCTAATCGAATTTAAAGCGTTTAAACGAAGTTACAGCTTCATTTTACATTTCACCGCTACAAACAGAAACTAGTTTACACGGAACTCAGTACAGAAAACACAGAACACAGAACTTAGGTTACTTTAAACTTGGTTACGTGTAACTGAGTTTTTACAGAGCTTGGTGAAAAGGGACCTAAACTGTCAAACACCAAGCGGTCACCGGTGACCGCGACCTATTGTTCTTTAATTGTGTCTATAAAACCGGTACTCGACGAGTTAAGGATCGATACTGATGCCAAAAACGCAACCAGTAAAATTATTGTCTATCTGTCTTTAAAACCGTTATAGAAACAAAAACTACACTCCTGAGCTGGTCATAGTACCTCTATACTTTTATCAGGCTACTCTACAATCAAAAAGAAACTTAATTGTGCTGCTCGATCCCTAGACACAGTTACTGTACCAAACGCTTACGCTTATTCGTGAGTTTGTGTATTCGTGAGTTTGCGTGTTTGTATGTATTTTTGTTAGTCAGTCGCATCAAAACGGCTGAAAGGATTGGGATGAAATTTGGAACAGAGGTAGATTATGTTCTGGAGTAACACATAGGTTACCTTTTTTATCCCCGGGACCGCAAGCGAAGCCGCTGGCTGAAGCTAGTAGTAAAATGTAATTGGGTAGTTTTCAGGGTATCAAAATTAAAAATTTAATTAGTTCGTCGGTTAGATAATGAAAAAATATTAGACACGTATTTTTATATTTTATCATATTAAGTTGCAATACTTAGATAAAATGGCGCTAAGGTTAGGAGTGGGAGGTCGTTACGTTATAACGTGGTACAAAATGTCACACGCTGTGACGTCACACGATATTTTTTTTTTTTTTTTTTTTTTTTTAATATTAAAGATTATTTCTCCACGGACTCTTGGTCCGTGCCCTTGTCATACAGTTTTTTAATTATAATACATCTAGTCAATTTTTATAAAGTAAAGAGGGAACCTAGTTACATACTACAATTAACTACATCTATAATTATTAGCAAAAGTATAGGTTACATAATAATTAGGCACTATTTATTTATTTCTATTTCAAAGGCTTTATGAAACCAGCCCACCAACAAGATGGGAGAGCCGACCTGACCCAGCAGAAGGCACCCGTTCACGAGTATGATCACATGATATTTCAAATTAATATATCGTCGAAAGTAATTAATTTTGTGAGAAACAAAAAAATACGTGTCTAAAGTTTTAAATTAATGTACCAGACGGACATTAAAATAAAATTTAGGAAACTACCGTATTGTAAGTAGAGATAACTTCAAATAAATATACTTATACATAAGTGTATGTGGTGTGAATGTACACATGTACGAATGTTACGACTCCGATTCGAACCATACAACAGATAATCTTTTAGGTGTTTTGTGGTCAGTTATTCAAAACAATAGTTGAGGATCTATAAATACCAATATAGGTACAAGAAAAATCTTATCGATCCGACTTATCGATTTAACTTTATATTTAAAATCCTGCAATAAGTATATAGAAATGTTATTATAATTAAATAGACAACAATAACACTGCGTATGTACGTAAGGTTTTAATAACGATTTTTCAATAAAGTCAATAATTGTCTAATTCATCGAACTTATTGGCGATATCTATCTAATACGTTTAAATCAGTTTAATGTATCATGTATAAGTAACTCACGCCTAGACTGCCTCATTGGCCGAGTGGTCGTAAGTGCGACTGCCGAACAAGGGGTCTCGGGTTCGATTCCCGGGTACGGCAAAGTATTACTATGGGTTATTTTTAAATCTCAGCAGCAGCACGGAGTCTGGAAATGTGCCCGGTATATGACAATTGAATAGGCTCACCCCCTATTACATGGGACTCATGCTCATAACATAAATAGTGAAAATTGGGTGTTACATTATATAGTGGCATTCAGTGCCGTAATGTGCACCTCTGCCTACCACTTTAGGGATTAAAAGTGTTATCTTATGTATGTATAAGCAACTGTTATTTAATACTACTTAAGTAAGTAATACCGTTTTCAACTTGTAATTACCCAATAATTTTCAGAACCGACTAATACCTACGTAAAATAGAAACTAAATTGTTTAAATTCTATTAGGTATGAAGGAGGATTTTAAGATCTATGCATTAAAAAAAACAGTAATAGTAAACCTTCAGTTTCAATGAATTCATGTAAGTAGTTCAATTTGTCTAGCTACGAATAAATTTTAAAATTGCAAAATATTACAAACCTTCAATCCTGATATCCTTTCCGAACCACATCACACACTAACTAATATAATTTGAACAATTTTACTATAAATAGTCATTTTTCGATTGATATAAACTTTTCCCGCCACTAAAATTGTCACACAGATAACCAAAACAAAAGATCAAAACACGATTTCGAAATTTGAATCTACTTTATTGCCGGCCGGTGCGTTCCGTTTCGCGTTCGATTAGCGAATGCAGGCAACATTTTCCTTCGGCGAAGGCGCGAACCGTTACAGCCACTCACCTTGATTTTCCTGAATGCAGATGTAGATAATAAATATTTAGGACAAACCGCGAATTGATTATTATTTTATAGGCAATGGATTTTTTTAAGGGGGGAAAATCATCGTATGACTGCTCCGGCCTGGGTGAGGCGGGATGGAGTGTCAGACTCGTACTCACTAAAAACCACCCCATTCCTTCTCCTGCACGTCGAGCCGGAGCGGATTGGAATTGAAATATAAAAAAATTCTCCATTTTATCAAATAAAACACTGTCTACCTACTTACACACAGCTTGTCTGTTGGTACTTACATTTTTATAAGTGTTATTTGACTGGATTGTTAGAAATACCTATTATCCACATTGTTTTGATATTTTTTTTTAATAAAATAAATACTAATATTTGATTAGATTATGTACCTATTATTTTTGTTACTTCTTATCTACAACTTAAAACCTAATTACAGCACGTCAAGCAAGGTGATTAAAATAAATCTAAATAATGGTCAATGAAAGATTTTTTTTTATATTTGACGGGCCGACGTTTGACCACTATCTCGCCTGGTGGTAAGAGATGATGCAAAATATAAATAAATGATAAGATAATAAGTACTTAGATATTTTTTCGTTGATTAAGTAGTCGTTGATGCAACATAATTATCAGGTGTAATTCTTAGTTTCTGGTTTCCACACGACGTTACGCTAGGCTGTCGTAAATATATAGACATTTTACCATTTACCACCTGTTAGGCTATTCTGTAAGATGGCAATTCGAACTCTCAAAGTGAGCTCGAATGCGGTCTGTCATGCCATTGGTTGTGACAATAATCTCGACCAATGAAGGGCGAGAGTGTGATCGAGTTCACTTCGAGAGTTCGAATTGTCATCTTACAAAATAGCCTAGGTGGCAGGTAACTGAGCTATGTATTACGTGTACCTGATCGAAGCAGGAATTGCTATTACAAGTCTTACGTAAGTAGGGACAGGTTATTGAGAAAGCTCCGTAATTGTATAATAAGTGCGTATTTTATGTTTCTACCACATAAACTGGTCTAGAAATAGAAGTTCCCAGTTAGTAGAGCTAGGTAGGTATTTGTACCAATAATCTTAGAGATAATATTTATTAGGTATCTCTGCTGCTGCTATCATTTTAAAATTTTATTTTTGATTTTTCATGAGACAAACTTATAGACAGATTAGATTAGCTCCATATATGGTAAGCGATTATTGCTGTCCTTGGACACAGACACCCCCAAAACAGATGAGTTCACACTCCCCTGTCAGAGGAGTCACAAGTGCGTTTCCGAGTTATGAATTCTCTAAAGATATTAAATAATCTGACAGTTCTTTTATATCATCACGTCGTTTATCCTCGAAGGGTTAGGCGGAGGTGCACATTCCGGCATTTAATGCCACTGTACAATACGTTTATTCTGTACAATACATTCACTACTACCAATTATATTGTACTAGCGACCCGCCCCGGCTTCGCACGGGTACAATATGCATAAATTATAACATATAAACTTTCCTTAAGAATTTATCTATCTTTAAAAAAACCGCATCTAAATCCGTTGCGTAGTCTTAAAGATCCAAGCATACATAGAGACAGACAGACGGCGGATAGCGATTTTGTTTTATACTATGTAGTGAATAGTGAATTATAAGTCGAGAATCGAACCCGACACCCCTTGTCCCGGCCGTCGTACTTGCGATCACTCGTGTCCAAAGACGCAGTTTAACAGGTTTAAAAAAAATATGTTTACCTGTGTCTACTATTGCGAAGTAAGTATGAGCGGGAAAACACCGTACTGCCGTGATGTCCGCATTTTTTTTAGTATAATTATGTGTCATAGCATTTGGGTTTTACACGTATAAGCTGAATCGTGTTTATGAATTAACAGTCAGTGACTAATCTGAACCGCTAATCAAAGTAGTTACACTTATAACTTAACAAATAAAATGAAGGTTAACGCTAGACTTAATGGAAGATCACGTAGATTGGTATTGTTATAGGGTAAACCAAAGACTTGTTGCTATTCAAAACAATGATAAATAGTTTTACTTCGTGTACTAAGTACACATATATAATTTTTAAAAACGTCACACACAATTATGTGTGACGTTATTACGTTTTTATCACAAAACAAAACAAATGATTTTTTCTACTGAAATTTATTTTCAAATTTTTTTTCAATATATTTTTAACTAGGTAAGTTTATATTATTTTTACTGTGTTGTATTTGTATTAAGTAAACTGTACGCATATAAAGATACCCCCTTTTTTTAAGAGGGGAAAATCATCTAATGACTGCTTCCGCCTGGGTGAGGCGGGAGGGAGTGTCAGACTCTTACTGACTAAAAACCACCCCTTTACATCTCCTGTTGAGTCGGAGCCCCGGTAACCCGTTAGGTTCTCCGCGACACACTCATCTCACTCATATAATTATTATTTCGAACAATTCGAATAACACCAACTAGGTACATTAGTTATCTGTGCAATATTTGTTTCGCGCCTTTTCAATGCGTTGCACGCAGATTATATATATAGACCACTTTGAAATACTTACCTAAGCAATCATTTTGAAGTGTCATAGTTTCGTTCTTTGGCATAATTAAATGGTGATTAAATGTTATATCAAACGTATAATTATTTAACTTTTTTAAATGTACATACATAATTGTGTTATTGAAATAGGAAGGAATCTTGAATATCTTTGTTCTGCCTCTTTATCAAGTAGGTTGAGGTTGGTCAGTAATTTATCAGATTTGATATGAATGCCAGTATTTTACGCAGGGCTGGAGACCCAATATTATTCGGTAGATTAGTTTTTCTGTTATTGCATCATTCTTGTTGACCTGAGGTCCCCTTAACGGCCAGGACTAGGGCCTAGTCTATTTTACGCAAATTATTTATTAATGAATTAGGATTAAAATTTGCAAACAATGCAAAAATATCACGCCTGGACTTAGATTTGAAAATTAAATTCACATGAACAAAATATTTTTATTCCTGCATACTGTGTAACCTAACCTAAGTCCAAATAATTATAAAAAACACCGATACTCCATGTGTATCGTAATTATAGGCTCACGTCTACCTATCAGTCTTAAGAAAGCGGTGCGCGGTGTGCAGTGCTCCAGTCAGTTACAAAACGCAGTGTAGCCGTTGCACAAATAGACGGAAATTCTTACAATTAGCTCGCCTTGTCTAAAACACGCGTTTCCTACACTTCACTGCGGCAATTGAAGAACTCAATTCCACATAAGTAAAGAATTACTAATTCAAAACCAAGAAATGCGTTTAAAATATAATTTGATTTTTTTGGAGAGATATAGACAATAAGAAAGGTCCCCATTATGTTATGCTCCTAAATAATGTTTTCTGCACTTGATGAAATTATAACTTTTCCGAACGTAATATATAAGCCCCTACTTATATTCAAATACTAATTACTAGCGATTCGCCTGCGCCTCGAAGCTAGTTTTTTTCACACGTATCTTTTTGTATCTATCGTTTTGGTCCAGCCGTTCTCGAGATTGCACTTAACATAAATTGTGATACAATTTTATATTCATAGAAGTAAGAAGTAATCTCTACAAAGAAAATGCAAATCAGTTGTATAAAATTGTTATGTATTTGCCCATGGCCCTGAGCCTTAAGTTAGTAGTTCATTAAACCTTATTTAAACCGGTTGTGGCTATTTTTAAAAATGCCTCTATCAGTTTCTGTATAGGTACAAGAAAACAGCAGGTCAAGTTACTATTTTTTACTTTATTCCTTTATTAGATTTTCAACTTTACACTAATAAAATAATGTCGAAAATCCACTAAAGAAGATGATCTCAGCATGATTTAGTTACCTTTTGACTCTTCTTCTGATATCGACGTAACTTTATAATTACGTCAACGCGACGTCATATTATTATGACGTCAAAATTTTTTGTTCCATCTCACGCACAAATTTTCCTTTGATGGGAAGTTACGCACTGTGATTCACAGCGTGGAAATATCAATATCAATTTATATATATAGATCTTCCTTAGTATTCATACGTTGTTTTCCGTTTAAATAATTTTCCTAGATCTTTATTTTGGAGTTCATTAAACATATTTTTCCAAGTACCTACTTGTTCAGAATAGTTTTATTACATTTACACCCACGAATGTCATAAAGTATCTAAAAATATACACCTAGGAATTTTGATATAACTGCTTAATTATGTACATACATTCTAAAAATAAAATTAACATTTCAAAACCGGATTGCGGTTTAGGCTAGTAGATTTAAAAATAGCCTACCTCTATAATTGATTATCGAACTTTGAACAGGCATTTAACATATAAATATCGCTTGATGATTTACTTTATTCTCACAGGTACAAAGATTAGATTAATTTCAAGAAAGAACTTTGATTGCTTACTTGTCTTAAGGTTTTTTTTTTAAGGGGGGAAAATCATCGAATGACTGCTCCCGCCTGGGTGAGGCGGAAGGGAGTGTCAGACTCTTACTGACTAAAAACCACCCCGTTCCTTCTCCAGCACGTCGAGCCGGAGCCCCGGTTACCCGTTAGGTTGTCTTAAGGTATAGTAATTAATATAGGTACATAAGTTGGTACCTAAAGCCTAGTATACACGTCCTGTTTTCTTGAGTGGTAGCATTCATTATAATTAATTACATTTAATGAGATACTAATAAATTATGTGTATTTACTCTGTAAGTAATGTGTTTGTGTGTATAGTATATTTGTTACTCAATCGCGCCGTCAAAAACAGCTGAAGGGATCA